CTCCTTATAAAGTCCTTCTGCGCTACACTTAGGACATCCGTTTTTTCCATTGTGACCTATTACTCCTGTTACATAAGCCCTGGCTGGAAAATCGCAAATAAAAACACGAATATTAAATGGTTTTAAAACTGCCATGGAACCCAATTTAATTCCGTTTTCTTTAAGTGATTTGGCCTCTGTACAAAAATCACGCATGAAGTCGTTGATGTTTTTGGGTTTACTTAACCCAGAAAAGCAACCAATGACAAAGGGACTAATATGCGGGAAATCCGCGAAAGAGATCCTAAAATTGGCCATAATACTCTGTTAGAGCTCTTGAACAACCTAAGTCCATCAATACCTATGTCAATTACAATTTCTTCCTTATTGGCTAAGAAATTTAAGCTCTCTGACAATAAATAAGTTTGAACTCCTAAATACAAAAACTCACTATTAGGTATTTGTATAACACTAACCTTTTTCCTACTGGTTCCCATAAGTGTTTTGGCCGTCATTGGCAAATCGCGATCACCTGCCCTATGCAATGTTTGCAGAAGGTCGTCCACGGCAATTCGGGATATATTATTTCTCATGGCCCAGAACTTAATTTCGTCAGCTTTACTAAGTTCTGCAGCTTCTTCGCCCTCACTCTCGTGTAAATAGAACTGTTCCTGCTCGCTATCACTATCAGCAGTCAATTCCCTATGGGGACTTGGACATTTATCCTCACCCTCACTATCACTGACACCAACACTTAAGTCTTTTTGGGAACTCGGAAGCATAAGTACGGAGGGACATTCAATTACATTAACATTTGCTACACATTCCATTGCTTGAGTACATTCCAAAAGTTCTCTAAATCTTTTCGCATCAGATTCAAAGATCCTTTTTTCCTTACTCACGCAATTTTGGAAATACCTCTTTTTCATATTATTTAAACAATTGTTTATACCATGCACAATTTAAGATACTTATCTTCTTATTTTCGGCTATATTCCACCTGGGATTTGATTGGAAAAAACACAAAACTTTCCGAAATTCTTCTGCGATTTGGTAAAATTTAACATATATACTTCAAAATGGCGGGCGCGTTGCTTTGCAAAAATTTTAGTGATGAGAAATTTGCCTCTGAAAAGTATTCGGTTTGAATGAATTTGGTTTCCAAGTATTATTTTTTTGGTTTTGTTAATTTTTTGTGGTGCTAATTTCTATACTCAAGACAAAAATGCAATTTAATTAGTTTTTTATTTCAATTTTCGATACAAAGCAAAATTATTTCCAAGGTAAAATACCAAAATAAATATCTTAAATGGTTCACTTTACATAGTACTCGGATATATTTGGTATTTTGAAGGTAGCAACTACTTTCAATCAGCATGAAATGCAACTCTGTTAAATTAGCTGAAAACAGTCGTAGTACATTGTTGCTATCTCTTTCTTTCAAATTTTGAGGGGTTTCATTCTCGCTAGTACACAGGATTGAACTAATATATGTTCATAC